TAAGAAGTATGCTTGAATGAATGAATGAATGAATGAATGAATGAATGGATAAATAAATGGGTGATTTAAGAAGTAGGAAATATAATTGAGTGAATGAATGATGGGTGATTTAAGAAGTATGAATGAATGAATGAGTGAATGAATGAATGAATAAATGGATGATTTAAGAAGTAGGAAATATAATTGAATGAATGAATGATGGGTGATTTAAGAAGTATGCTTGAATGAATGAATGAATGAATGAATGAATGAATGAATGAATGAAAAATACTCGATTCTGCTGGCAGGCCATGTCCCTGAACAAAAGAAACAAAATGACCTAGGGCCACCCTAAAATGCTCCTAGCCATGGATCATATGCAGGAAAATAAACCAAGTTCCGAGAAGAACCTAACTGTTCCACCCAGTGCTACGGTTCTCTCCGAAGAGCCTCTGTTGTGGCCATAAGCGGGGGTGGGATTCGGACCGGTTTGAGCGGACTGGAGGTTAAATTTGCATCTGGTTTGCCGAACCAGTAGTTGCCCACCCTGCCCCTCCTCTCCCAGGAGTTTTGAATGCAGGTGAGGTTCTGGGAGGACGAAAAACAAGCAGAACCGGAAGTTCCGGAAGTCCGGAAATGGGCCTGTTTCCAGCTTCTGGAGGCCCTCTGGACAGAGGTGAGGATTCAAATTTTTTCACAACTGGTTCTCTGGGTGTGGCTTAGTTGGTGGGCGTGGCTTGGTAGTCATGTGACTGGCTGGGTGTGGCCAACTCAACATCCCTCACATCGAGGCACGCATCTCCTCGCCTGGCCCCTCCTCGCCTGGCCCCTCTGTGACTGTGGGGATGCTGCGACGGTCGTAAGTGTGAAAAAGGGTCATAAGTCACTTTCTTCGGTGCCATTGTAACTTTGAATGGTCACTCCACACAAGCAAAGGACCAGCAAAGGAAGCGGGGAAAAACTCCAGAGACGTTCCAGAGACAGGAAGTCTACTCCTGCCAAGAATGGAATAAAGGTTAACAGACAGTTTCTGTAAGCAACACCAGAATGTTTCCTTCCTGCGTTCCTTACAGGATTAGTCCAGTAAAAATTTCTTCTAACAACCGGTTCTCTGAACTGCTTAGAATGTTAACAACCGGTTCTAGCGAACCTGTAGAATCCCACCCCTGCCTCCAGAACCCGGCCATTTTTGCCCTCCTGGAGACCCAAGGGAAGCCTGGTAGGCCACGCCCATCCAGCAACCGGGCAGAGAACTGGTTGCTGGGTTTTTTTTGAATCCAACCCCTGGCCATAAGGACTAGAAACCTGAGTCCTTTCGAGGCCCCGAGCATTAGCTAAGACCGATGGACACACAACCACAGCACACAGAAAGCCGCAGCTCCGGGTCACGTAGCAGGGAATGGGACCGCGGAGAAGGGGGGAATCGAGGGAGGCGGTCACATGCATCCATGCTTGAAAGGGGGGAAGAGAGGGGAGGGGAGAATAGGGGGAAAGCCGAAATTTTGAGGCGGGGGGGGGAGGGGGAGAAGCACTCACAAAATATCCTGCTGGGGGTCCGGGATGGTTTTTCGGATCGGAAGGAAGAGGAAGCTGCTTGCAAAAAAAAAAAAAGAGAAACAAACACACATGGAATAGGAGCAAAACGAAACGAAACAAAAACGACACGCTCACTCCCTCGCAGCCGTTCTGACACAAAAGACCTGCGCAGGCGACGACTCGAAACACACGAGGTAGTCCTCGACTTACAGATATTCGTTTAGTGACCGTTCGGATTGAAAATGGCACACACACACACCCAAAAAAAGACACGCTTAGAACGGCGTTTTACGCTTGGAAATTTCAACTTCGTACAGGTCGTCTTTTGAAGGATTTTTTTGCGTTTTTGAAGCTTGGCTCGAGGCGTATGGTTTCATTCGGGCGATCGCCGGAATCCTGACATAGGACTTATGGTCCTGCGATCAAAATCAGGAGGCTTGGCCACTGACTCATATTTATGACGTTCCTGGGGTGTGTGTGTGTGTCTCCTTTGGCGACCTTCTGACGAGCCAAGTCAACGGGGGAAGCCGGGTTCAACTTAACCACCGCGTTACTCGCTTAACCACCGCAGCTTAATGACCGCGGCGGGAAAGGTCGTAAAATTGGGGTGGGGGGGTGGGGAAGTCACTTGACGACTGTCTTGCTTAGCAAACGGAGGCTTGGGGGGCTTGCGGTCGTAAGTCGAGGACTGCCTTGCCTAGGGGAGGAGAGGAATGCTGCTCCGTGGGGCGAGGCGGAAAAGCAGAAACAGCAACGGTGCCTTAGGAGGGGTGAGGGCGAACCTAACGAATCCCTCCCGTTCCCCCATAAACGGGAAGATCCCAGTAACCTGGGAAATGCCGTCGTATCTCAAGGACTCCCTTTTACATTATTGTTTCCTGCCTTAAAAAACAGGCAAAATATTTCAGCGATAGAATGGACCGCTGAAAATGGGAAAAAAAGATAAATTCTGCTTGGGACGCGGTTGAGGGGGTCAGGTTCTCCGTCCCTCCCTCCCCCTTTCAATTAATTTGGGGATAACCTTGAGGGGCGCCTGGAGATTATCTAGCCTGACTACTTGCTCAAGACAAGGGACTTCAGGGACAGAAATTCCGTATGTCTTTATGCCGGGCAGGTGGTTTTATGTTTTTTTTTAACGTTCATCCCACCTCTATTAGGATTAGAAGTAATTCAAGGTAGCGAACATATCTAATGTTCCATGGCACAACAATCTTGCGAGGTGGATTGGGCTGAGAGGGAGTGGCTGGCCCAAAGTCACCCAGGCAGCTCTCATGTCTAAGGCGGGATTAGAATTCACCATCTCCCAGTGATTGGCCCAAAGTCACTCAGCCGGCTTTCCTGCCTAAGGCGGGACTAGAACTCACCATCTCCCAGTGATTGGCCCAAAGTCACTCAGCCGGCTTTCCTGCCTAAGGCGGGACTAGAACTCACCATCTCCGGTGATTGGCCCAAAGACACCCAGCCGCCTTTCCTGCCTAAGGTGGGACTAGAACTCACCATCTCCCGGTGATTGGCCCACAGTCACCAATTAGCTTTCATGCCTAAGGAGGGACTAGAACTCCCCATCTCCTGGTGATTGGCCCAAAGTCACCCAGCTGGCTTTCATGCCTAAGGAGGGACTAGAACTCCCCATCTCCTGGTTTCTAATCCTGTGCCTTCCCCACTGGACCAATCTAGCTCAAATGCTCCTGCGGTTAAAACTGAACATCGACATCCACATGGATCTCTTGGAGGAGGAAGAGCAGTAAACGAACTTTGCTTTTCACACCACCACCTCCAATTCACAGGTGCTCCCCCAGAAGTGCAGGGGAGCCCCCAAACCCCGGGCTTTTAAGAACCAGACCAGTAGGCGTCTTATAATTCAAAATGGGTTCCCGCTAAGCTCGAAAGGCCATTCACAAAATGGGATAAACACACCCACGCACTGTTTTAAAATTCATTTTAGTCGTTGCGGCGAGCTTTCGGTCAGTGTCCGGCCAGGCCTTACCGGAGACTTTGGGCGCTGGGTTGCAGGAAAACCCGCCGTTGGACTGATCCAAGGTCTCTCCGAATTCGTAGGATTCCCTGGGCTTCGGTTTATATTCTCGCTTGGGGCGTGAAGAAGCATCTCGCACCCTGGGAACCGGAGGTAAAAGAACCACAACAGACTGTCAGTCGGAATACCAGAATATTTTACCACCTGGGATTCGTTTTTACAAATGATTGGACAATAAAGGCAATAATTAAAAGCTGGAAGAATACCACTATATAAAAGTCAATATTTGTTGTGGTCTGCCAGCGGTCAGCGGAGCTGGCGGCAGACTCGGAGAGTGAGGAGGTTAGGGAGGGACATGGGCCGGCCCTGGAGTCCGGGGAAGGCTCGGACGAGGGCTCTGCATCGGAGGCAGAGATGGGGCCAGGGCCGTCTGACAGTTATCAGCTGCCTTTGGAGTTGGACATCAGTGAGGTAGAAGAACAGCTGGAGCCTGTTCCCAGGGTGCGCATGCACAGGGCTGCCAGAAGAAAGGAACAGGTAAGGAACAAGGGTTGACTGGAGAGTAAAGGCACAGGTGGACGTTGAATGGCCCCTCTCGTAGGGAATAAAAGAGGCAGAAGACAATTAGTTCAGTTCATTAGGGTGAAGATCTTTTCCTGACTTCTTGCCAAGTGATTGCTGCTACAGTGTGGTGCTTGGAAGATATCGGCGTGGCAACTCTGCAAGCCTGATAAAGGTCTATAGTTGTGAACTCTCTGGAAAGACCGTTTCCAGGGACTTTGCTGGCAGAGGAATTCCGTTTAACCTAAATAAAAGCGGTTTTATCAGGACGAGGAGTCGGCTTCGTGATCTTGGGAAGCCTATTGTTGTTATTATTATCGATATTATGTATATAAATTGACCCAGGCAATACACTGTTTAAGCACTCACATATGTTTTCAAAAAGGACAAATAAAATGTATATATTAAAAAAACAAGATACAAGTTAGCATTTCATTGTTAATAAATAAAAGTAAATTCAAGGCATATTTCAACTAACAAAATGCCGGCAATACATTTTGAAATAAGAATTCTAATTTATCTATTTGTAATGGTATATATAATAATATATAATAAATATAATAAATATATATATAATAATATATATAATAAAGATTCTCCTGATTTGTTTAACGACCGCGTGATTTAGTTCACAACTGCAGTGACTTGCCTTGAACGACAGTCGTTAAAAAAAGGGCCATAAAAAAAAATCAAGCGTGTGTCACTTAACAACCGCAACAGAAATTCATACATTACCTTTTTCAGCCCTGTGTTAACCTCCCGCAGTCGCTAAGCAAACGGTCGTATGTCGAGGAACTACCTTTGAGAAAGCCTAGCCCCCACCCTGTCCCCAGTCCCCAGCTGACCTGCGTTTCAGCTTCTCGGCCAACTCGTCCAGAATCTGCACGGCTTGTTTGTGGTAGTCGAGTTGTGCATCCACCAGAGCAGAAAGCTGGCTGACTTGCTCGATCTGTAGCCAAGATAAAAGAGGATTCCAATCACGGTTTGTTGAACTAGCCACAATGATCTTTCCACCTTTGCTGCACCACTGTCGTGCCCCTGTTGGAATCTGATGCCGAGGGGAAGGTCGAGTAGCTGACAGGGAGTGGGAGTGTGGAAGAAACTGGGGAAGGGTACAGTCCGGCTGGGCATTCAAAGGAAGACCCAGGCCCACCCCCTCTTCATGCTAGGGCACGCAGGGAGGAACGCAGAAGGGAGCAACGTGGGTTGCGTGGTTTAGGGGGGAGGAAAAGGCCCTGATCCCCTTTCATTAGCTGCAGCTGGGAAGACTGTTTAAAAGGGCAAACTGCGCACCACAAACTTGCTGGAAGCAAAGCGTGAAATTATTCTGGTTTGTCGAGTCTTATCTGAGTTTTAGCGTCCTCCCAACTGTGTGAGTTTCATTATTTTTTGACGTCTGCAATTCCTTATCCTGCCCTGTCTCGTTAATTGCTGCAGCAAGTGGTTTGTGTTGTTTTTTAATTTTATAATTTAAATGTACTTTGAGTTCGGACAGAATATCTTCCCTTTAAAAATTGTTCTTGGGAGAGTATTTTTTCTCCAGCCGATGATAACTGGACATTGTGGGGGCCAAGTTGGAGGTATTAAAGGGACTTTCCCTATTTTTGTGACTTTGTTGCTTTTGTGCCGGGTCATCACAGCCACCTTTAATCCTTTCCAAACGGGACTGGGCCATTTAGTGTTCACAGATACCAGAAGAAGGTAAATGTAAAGGTTCCCCTCGCCCATGGCGTGCTAGTCGTTCCCGGCTCTTGGGGGGCGGTGCTCCTCTCCATTACAAAACCGAAGAACCAGCGCTGTCCGAAGACGTCTCCGTGGTCATGTGGCCGGCATGACTAAACACCGAAGGCGCACGGAAGGCTGTTCCCTTCCCACCAAAGGGGTCCCTATTTTTCTACTTGCATTTTTTTACATGCTTTCGAACTGCTAGGTTGGGAGAAGCTGGGACAAGTCACGGGAGCTCGCTCCGTGACGCGGCGCTAGGGATTCGAACTGCCGAACTGCCGGCCTTTCTGGTCGACAAGGGCAGCGTCTTAGCCACTGAGCCACTGTTGATACCGGAATAGGAGTATCCTAATTAAGAGCTTCCCCCTCTCCTCCTCCCCCGTTTAGGCCTGACTTTAGCGTAGGGGTGTCCAATCGTGGCAATTTTAGATTCTGTGGACTTCAACTCCCAGAATTCCCTAGCCTGGGAATTCTAAGGATAGAATGGAATGGAATACAATAGAATAGAACAGAAAATATGGAATGGAATGGAATGTCTATTTTGTGCGTGCTGATGATTAACCCCCAGAAGACATGAAAATTTTGCCTGTAAATTTTGTTGGTTGAGCTAAATTTGTGTTTACGGGTAGTCTTTCGACTTACGACCACAACCGAGCCCAAAATTTATTAAAATAAATTGTTTTTTTTTAAATTTTTCTTACAAGCATCTATCTCACGTATTCGAAACTATATTTATTCTCATACCTGTATCTTGTAAGCGATTGACAAATCAAACAAATACTAAATACTAAAATCTCCATTGCTGAGTGAAGTGACGTCGTGAAGTGAACGTTGCTCCCATTTTGTGACCCTTTCTTGCCCCAGTTGTTAAGTGAATTGCTGCACTGGTTAAATTAGTAACACGGTGGAGTGAATCTGGCTTCCCCTTTGATTTTAGAATAGAACAATGGAGTTGGAAGGGACCTTGGAGGTCCTCTAGTCCAACCCTCTGCCTAGGCAGGAAACCCTACACCACTTCAGACCAATGGTTATCCAGTCTCTTCCTTAAAAACTTCCAGTGTTGGAGAATTCACAACTTCTGGTGGCAAGCTGTTCCACGGGTTAATTGTCCTCACTGTCAGGACTGTCATTGTCCTTAGTTCTAAGTGGCTTCTCTCCATGATTAGTTTCCCACCCGTCGAGGTATTGGAACAAGGCTGGCTAGAGGAACTCTGGGAGTTGAAGTCCACAAGTCTTAAAGTTGGCAAGTTTGAGGAGGCCTGCCTGGTCTAGGATTTTGACACGGGACAACTTGCGCTTCAAACTCTTTCCCTTCTCGGTCTCAAAGGCGCACAACTTACGTCGGTCTCGAGAAGATTGTGCATGCTCGTCTCGGCCACTTCCTTGGACTCCTCAAACTTTTCCAAAGCTTGTCGCAATTCTTCGTCAGGAATTTTCCCTTGGCGTTTCTTTTTGTAGTCGAAGTCCAAACGTCGCCCTTCTAGCTTTTTCAGGTGGTGCTTTTTTGGGTGGGGGGAGAGGAAAAGAGGAGAAAAAGAGGAGTAAATGGTTAAAAAAAACAAAACAAAACAGTAGAGATGGGGTACGCTCAGCTTTTCCAAGTTAAAACTACTTTCGATTGGAAATTCTTCCCCCCCGCCCCAGTTCAAACGGTGGTTAGCAAGCACTGGTTAAATTGGAGAATATATCCTCCTGCAGTGAGCTGGATCGGTCGTGCAACGAAACGACTCTGCAAATGAGGTCATTTTGTTCAAGTAATTACATCGGCATGATATTGTGTAAGTCATAAATTTACACAATATTATACAGATACAGGTAGTCCACGACTTGCAGTCACAACTGAGTCATATTTTTTTTTGTTGCTAAGCGAAATGAGACCTTTGTCGGGTGAGCTTTGCTTCATTTTACACCCTTTCTTGCCCGTGGTTATTAAGTGAATTGCCGCAGTTGTTAAATTAGCGACACGGTTGTTAAGTGAATCAGGATTATTCCTTTGACTGTGCTTTTGTGACCCATGACCCTTTTTCACACTTACGACCATCGCTGCAATCCCTCCTTCCTTTCTTCCTTCCTTCTTTTCTTCCTACCTACCTTCCTTCCTTTCCTTCCCTCCTTTCTTTCTGTCCTTTCCTTCCTTTCTTCCTTCCTTCCCTCTCTTCTTTCCTTACTTTTTTCCTACCTTCCTTCCTTCCTTTCCTTCTTTCCTTCCCTCCTTTCTTTCTGTCTTTT